GGACATTCTAATAAGTTTGTGCTTGGTTAAGCCTTGTTTCATATGTCTTAATTGCAATGTCTTAATTTTTAAAAAGCGAACTGGCAAGGTGAGTCACATGCGAGGATAAAACTTTCCATAGTAAAAGAGCATCTTCTCTTGCAAAACCAAGTTGCCAATTTGAAGTTGACTTGACACCGTCATTTTAGATAAAAGTTCTTCATACCACAACTTTAAATAAGAACTTGTTTGGGTCATGGTGGGAAACAAGTGCTATGATGAAAACAGTTTTCATTACTCGTGGCTGACATTTGGAGATCCAGCTGGTTGGCCATCCCTGATATCATTAATCTCAGCTAATCTCTGTTTTTCAGGGGAAGCCAGCTGATTTTACAGAATCTTATAAATTGCTTACACAGCCATGCAAAAATGATAATTTCCAAGTCACTGAGATTTCTGGGAAATGGGTCCTTAAATACTTTAATAAGAAGAAAAGGAAAGTTTGTAGTGATTTAATTACATTTGATGGTACTTTTACTTAACTTATAAATATGAGCTACTAGAATTGGCAGTGCAGGAACAAACTGGCCCCTTGTTTCAGATTTCAGATGAAATATCCTTGTATAGAATCCTATAAATGGTGAGAGGATCTGGGGATGTGCATTTTAAGGGAATACGTAAAGGCACTTCTCCTGGGGCACTCTCTGCAGTACAGAAAAACTCCAAATGAGCGAGTAGTGCATCTAACTCAGTAAATATTTGGCGGGTGAATCTATATAAATACAGTAAATTCTCTGCCTTACTGTAGCTCTCCTCCATTTCGCAAGCCCAAATGTAGAAGACAGATGCACAGTGCATAACATAACGAGGTTATAGGAGACAGCAAGAAAGGGTCATGAGGTTACAAAATTCTTCCTCAACTTAGTTGTAGTCAGATTTTATTCATACATTAATAATATCCATTTGAGGCATGGCCCATGCTTGAAGTACACATGATTCTCAACAATTTTTTTAAGAGCTCATTGATGAATGTTGTCCAGACAGCTGCTTGGGAGCATTGTGCTTATTTCACTCATTAAGTATTTACTGAGCAGTTACTATGCACAAGACACTATATTGAAGGTTATTCTACTCAGAACCAATGTAAAGTCTAATTAGCGTTAGAGACGTCTATTAAACCAATATACAGTGGTACCTCCATTCACAAACACTTTTGTTTACAAACAATTTGGTTTGCAACCATTTAAATATATGTAGCATGACTTTGATGTAAAGTCCATGGCTACGTTCAATCATTGAGATAAGACAAAGTTTTATTTCTTCCAATATATCTGTTTTTGTCTCATTGCACTTGTCATCTGAATTTTTCTTCTGGTATTGTGTGCTATGCTATTTACCAAGAACAGTCCCATTGCAGAAAGTACCAGATTTCTTACCAGTTGAACTTGGAGACTGGACTTAGGCAAACATTTTAAAGTCACAACAATTAAGAGCAACAGACTCTTTTTTTGTCTAACATGGCAACCTAAATTGGGTTCGACCACATTACTGCCTTGACACATTAGCTCCTACAGAAATGAAAAATGATTTTCAAGTGAGCTCTATAATCAGGTTGTCTAAACAGGAGCTAGTGCTAAAGCAACAAACCAGCCTACCCATGGTTTCACAAAATTCATTTACCTGCTCAGACTACATCTATAAAAATAGTGGAGTTGTCTTAGGAAAAATGACAAGTTTTGAATGTGAAACAAGTTCTAGGCCTTGAGCAGCAAAAACCCACAGCTGTTTTTAGATGGTGATGCTTACTACTTCCTGATTTCCGCTCTGCTGTACTCCACATTCCCAGGCTGAGACACCAGGATAGAGCTCCTTAACAAATACACTCTGAAAAGGCAGTGGCCTCTGAGATGTCTGTTAGTAGTTTTGGGCTTTGCACCAAGAGTAGAGAATGTTTAAGACTTCAGAAATTCCTTTTTTATTCCATGGAGAAGAAAGAAAACTTTTAAGTAAAAGGGCAGCTCATTCTCATGATATGCAGGCTTCATTGACTGGGGTGGGTTAGAAATTACACTGAACTAAAAGAAAAACCATTTTCCCAACTGTAAGCTATCCATGTGCTATTAATTGTTACCAAACAAAAATGTGTCATTGTCAAACAGGTTTGGGGAGTGAAAAGTTAAAATCAAGTGGATATTTTTAGAACCATAAAGTTAGATCCTTAATTCAAATGTCTATGGCAAATCTCTAAGAGAAGTATAGGAAAAGCTCAATTTCCTAAGCTTATTTGGCCATGGAAACCTTCTTTTATACTGTTCCTCATGGGATTACTACTTTTCTATGGAACACACTCTTGTAAATGCTGACCTATAAGAATAGACACATTATTTTCAGACACTGACATTTCATACTCTTTTCACGATAAGTAAATAAATAAAAATAATGTATTTATTCTTCAATGAAGTTTATTCTCTTTAAATGAAGATAATTCTATTCAATGTTATCATTGAATTAGTGAATTAGACTCTATTATTTACAGTAGGAATGGTTTCCTACTGAATTAGACTCTATTATTTACAGTAGGAATGGTTTCCTACTGAATTAGACTCTATTATTTACAGTAGGAATGGTTTCCACTGATCAACCTACCTTTTGTAACTCAGAAATCCAGTTCCCTAAAGATGGGATTAGTGGTGATTACTCACTTGTGGATACAGAGAAAGGCAGATTCTGTTGTCCCACTGGTAATCAGATCCCTAACAATCATTTCCTCTGATGGTTTTAAATTAGGTTCCACAATGAGATTTTTAGACTCCATGTTGGTCGGGTTTATTTAAGAAATTCACAAGAGCTTTTGTTTGGAAATAAAATGGTTAAAAAACATATTAGAAACTATTACCCTAACTCCCTAGACTGCTGAGAGATATATAGGGGAATAGTGCTTTGCACATGGGAATGTGCTCTTTGCAAGGAAGGTATGGCTGAGTAGTCATTCCACAGGCAGGAAACTGCCATAGAGCTGAAGTTCTTTGCCCCAGATTAAAGAAATAATAGAAGCAGAAGTTAGAATTCTTGGCTCCTCCTTAATTTGGAAGTCAGCCCCTCACCAGGCTTAGGTCTTGCACTTCAATTTCCATGCCGAGAAGAGACCTAGATTTTAGTATTTCTTTCAAAAATTAATTTTTATCATTTTCATTTACTTATTTATGGGATTCAGTGTGATAATCCAATGCATGTATAAAGTGTATCATTATTCAATCAAGAAAATGAGCATTTTTATCTCCTCACACATTTAATTTTTTATTAACACATAATAATTGTAGATATAAGGTAAAGTGTGGTATTTCAATACATGTGTGCACTGTGTATTTGGATAGGTTCTCAAAATCAAATATGATTCCTAGACTGTGTATAGAGAGAGATAAATATGCACGATATGTATACAAAGTACCAAAAGGATGCTTGAGGTAAGATATTTTCAAAGCACTCCAAACCTACTTTTAAAAACTCTTTACCACTTTGCAAGAAGCTTTATTCACCAATTAAATTAAACTATCATATTTATTATTCATTAGTTTCTTGTCTCCATTTCTTGTTTTTATCAGCTTATCTTGTTTTATTTGCCCAGTAGATCTTTGATTTTCAAAATCACATTTTGTTTTCAAATTAGATCTCAAAATATTAACTCTGTCCTGGTCCTCCCAATCAGAAATTATCTGGCTATATTAGGAGGCTCTATTTTCACAATTTTAATTAAATTTTAAACTAGTCTGGATTTGTTATTTTGCATCTTATATTATTCATATGTACACTCCCCATCCAAAGATGCTCAGCTTCTTATAATGGAACCATATCTCATCCAGCTCACCCACATCTGCTTGCCTACAAGTGCCTTAGCATGTAATGCATGTATGTTATGTTTTTTTATTTGCCAAGTGAATTTGAAGTAAATTGCAGGCAGTGAGTAATGATCAGCATATAAAATGACAATTCAAAATTATACTTTACATTCTCCGTTTACTAATGAGTTAATATAATTTACGCTTTTGGGGGCCAGAACATTAGTACACATTGTAGATAACTAGCAGATTATATAAAATCTGTTAAGTTACACAATGAAGATGGTATAAGGAGTGATCATACTACTTAAAATGTACTTGTAACCACTCACTCCTAGGTGAAATAGTTTTCACACAAATCCCACAGGGGAAATGTAATATATATTTAAAACTTTGCCTCTTTCCTTTGTTCTTTCCTTATGTACCATGATCTGCATAGACATGAAAAACCATTTACTATTTATGACAAAGCAGCCATTCTGACTTCTCTGCACCATTCAATATGAATGGTGAGCTGTTAGGTGCCATACTCAGTCCTTGCAGTGGAAGAAATTTATTCTCTCAGATAACAGCTGGAAGCTTGAAGAAATATTTACAGGAAAAAATACTCAAGGCACTAGGTAAAATACTTTTAGTGTTGATCTTAGGTTCCTTGCAGGGCATGCTCTTAATTGTTCACAAATCGCACATATCATTTCTTCGTGTCCAATAAGGTGACTTCCTGTGGACATCTGCATTCTGGTTGTCAGCAGTTCTCTCTCTCTTGCTGTTGGAGTCCATATGGATTGCTCTTAATTCTCAGATACTCTTTTATTTCAGTCCTGATATGAAAAGGCAGCGCCAGAAGTTTTTAATGGATGGCAACCTGGTTGATGGGTGGGAATGGAAAGCACAGTTGAAATTGTGTCACAGGGGCTGGGGATTTAGCTCAGCGGCAAAGTGCCTGCCTGGCAAGTGCAAGGTCGTGAGTTCGGTTCCCGGTACCGGAAAAAAAACAAAAAACCAAACAAAAAAAAAAAAAGAAAAAAGAAATTGCGTCACAAATGCAATATTTACTCCCATGTATTTTATTTAAGGTGTCTTGGGACATTGATCCTCTTCAATTCAAAAAGAAAGAAAAGGAAAAGAAAAGCTGATATTGGGGATGTATTCATTTAAGTACTTGTTACTTTCATATCTTTCCAGGACAAAGACGAATCTTCAAAAACCGAAAATGAAGTTCACTCTTACACGCCGGCTCTTGCTACTCTTCGTTCTCATCTGCGTAAGTAAAACAGCTATTCTAAGCCATGTTCTTTGTGACGGCTATATAGACAGGAATGTTTGAGTGTGGTTGGTTGAGTTGGCATTTGCAAGAGTAGGCACTATTCCTCATAATCCAAAACTAAGTTCCTCAAGACCACCATTTTCCTTAATGTTTAGTTAATAAATCTTCCCTCTGAACTTTAATTTAGATTGGTGTCATGATCTACCCAGAAACTTGAGTTGTGCTTATTTACAAAAATACAGTCTTCACTTGAGACATCTCTACATTATCTTGGAAATGAGGGTAGAAGTTTGGTAATTGTTCTTGGACAAAATTTTTTTGTGTTTGATATACAGATTTGAAATAATTTCTGGGGTGTTCTAGTACATTTAAAATATCTGAACTTGATCAGTCTGGTTATGTATTTCAAATGTATATCTCATCAAAAACTAAAAATGTCCAAGTTTTTATGTACAACTGTCATTCCACAACTGTCTCTTTAACCCTCTATGTCGTGTTCAATGTATGTCATCTTACATTATTTTGTTCCTAAAGGATCTGGCTAGTCAAAAGCAATGTCATCTGAGAAGACACTATCAGTGCCTACTTATTTGTGTCAACATTGCTAACTCATCATCACATCAGCTTCAATAACACATGAAAAGAGGATGCACGCATTCAACATAAATCAGTTTTGGGTCATTTTGATCATTGTTCTTTCTAGCACATTGGGCTACCATTTGCCCATGAATTACAGCTGGAAGTAAAGATCATTACATATCTCATATTTTGATACTAACCCAAGCAAAGCCAACATAGAGTTCCAGGAATTCCACTGTTCATTAGGCTTACAAATTACCTATACTGTTTCTCTTTACATTATTTAAGAAAAAATATTATTAGAGTTCTATAAATGTTAATGCAATCTGTAAAAGGAATTTTTATTTTACAATATTATGTGTCAAATAAATGGTTTATAGTAGTGAATGTTAATGTAATGCTTTTACACCTCTTTGGATAATGGGCATAGTCTATTTTATTATGTCAGACCAACATATTATTGTAAATATTTCTTTAGTGAAGTTCTAGTATAATTTTCTAAAAGTAACCCAGTATTTGGAAGTAGGTTACTTGATACCATTATAAACCTAATAAAAATACTTAAACAAAAATATAGAAACTAATATTTTAGCCGGGTGTGGTGGTGCACACCTGTAATCCCAGCACTTGGGAGGCTGAGGCAGGAGGATTGTTGTGAATTCCAGGCCAGCCTGGGCTACAAAGTGAGCTCAAGCCCAGCCTGAACTGCATAGCGAGACCCTGTCTCAAAAAGACAAAATATATAAAATAAAAAAAGAAATTAATATTTTGTCTATAAATGTCCAAGCCTTGTGTGGTATTCTATGGATGTAGAAATACTACTATACATTAGCCATAAATTTGTACTGGTATTTCTCATAACTCAAATGAAATCTTATGTGATAGATTATATGGGAATATTTCTAAGTAATTTTTTCATAAGATATATAATCACATTGGCCATGAAAGAAGAAAAACTAAAGAATCCACTAAATAGTAACAAATAGAGATCATGTCTTTGTGTTAAAAATCTATAGCAGGTCATCTTTATTCAAAGATTTTTACCTAATAAATTTTGCAGCTTAAATATAAGATCCTATGTGTTTGCATGAGTTGTGAGCAGAAATATTTTAGGTTTATTTTATTTTATTTTTTTTTTGGTTTTTCTCTGGTACCGGGAACCGAACTCACGACCTTGCGCTTGTGAGGCAGGCGCTTTGCCGCTGAGCTAAATCCCCAGCCCCTATTTTAGGTTTATAAGCATCTCTTAGCAAACCCAGTTGAGCACAGTACTCTGCCGTGCCAAAAATCTATTTTCTTCTCTGTATTGAGATTATATATTTTATTTGGAAGACTTGCCTATACAATAACATTTGATATATCTATTTCCTTCAAAAACCTTCATTTTGTTCCATGCTCAAACTCCTCAGAGAAAAAGTAATTTTCAAAATGAATGAAGTGTCCTTAATTCATTCAACTATCACCTTTTACATAACACATTGCTATGAAAAAGGAACCACTTGTATTTATTAATTCTATCAATTTGTTTTCCATATGGCATGTGAAGTACTGGTGGGGATCATCGCCTTCCCTTAATCTCCTGTTCATTAACCAGAGCCACTACCTCATTTGCATTCCTTTCCCTGATGTAACCCAACGGGACCAGGACAGGGAATGGCACAGACTGAACACTGAAAACACCTTAGTGATGATGGGAGTAACAGGGAGAAAGACGTACATGAGCTAGATTCTTCTAAGAAGCATTTTGTTTTCATTGCTCATTGTTTACTTAGCTGTGTTCCCCCCAGAAAGCACACAAGACTCCAACCAGGCATCTGATCCTACCTGGGAGAGCAGGCTCTGCTACTTCACAACATTGTACTTTTTTTTCCTCCTTATTTTTAAAAGTATAACTGAAACCTGCAAATGATTCCAATGTGGACGGTATCCTTACGGTATCCATATTAAAGATGGTGACCTGGAAATCCTGTTGGTTATGTTAATTTGTAGTCTGGGTTTGCATTCTTTTTATTGTTATTGTCTTACTTGTGTAATGATCAAATCAAGGTAGTTAACATTTCTATCACCTTAAATACTGTTTTTTTTTTTTAAAAAAAAAAACTTTAATGAACACATGTTCCTTTTAGAGCAGTTCTGCCTGTGGCAATCAATAGCAGCGCCCCCTTCAGCACCCTAGCATGCATCCACACGTTCAGTGGCTTTGCACCTTGGCAGACATAAACCATTTTTCAAAGTTCCTAGTACAACAGCTCTGTCACTGTTTTGTGTGCCACTACATGTTACCTGTAACACAAAAGTAGAAACTAAGCACGTGGCTATTTCAGATCAGCTGGTCTTCCTTTATACCCCATGATTAATGTGGATGATTCCTTCTGGAATGTAAGCCCCTGAAGGGTAGAGACCTTGTTAGTCCATTCACTGTGGCATTTCCAGAATCTAGAACAGCGCCTGGCGTATAGAGGCACTTGAAGTTATTTACTGACCAAAACAGCCTGCCATGTCTCAGCTGGTGTTGGTGGCAGCATGGTGGTCGTATATGTGATGCCACCTCCTGGAACTTTTAGGGGTGACATCACATGCTCAGCAAGTTAAACTGCTACATGGGACAATAAGTTATTCTATCAAAGACTCATATGAGATAGTTTATGTTCAAAACTATGAAAAATGGCCTTTATTCAGACAAACAATATACCCTTAGTGTCTCATTGCTACCTTCATGTAAGCATATATATATATATATCATATATTTATTTAAATCCCTCAAATTCATACATAGCCTTTACAATATATAGAATAGTATTATGTCTTTCACATTGCTTGTTTTTTTATGTAATCATACATAAAATTTTACTTTGCCTCTTTGGTGCTGGAAATAATGCTACAAAACTAGCAATTTTTATTTGAAGGAAATTATCCAACATATTTTTATATGTACGCTTAGTGAACCTTATGAAATGTGTGTATTTGGCATTTTGCAGGAGCACTATGCATGCTTGTCACTTATATATGTACATAATATTTATATATTCATATTTAAATGTGTGTATCAATGTATCCATTTATCCATAAGTAGTATGCTCCAATGTATATGTTATTTTAGGAACAAAGCCACTGAGGCACTCAGCTACCACTGGGAAAGTCCACCTTGAGTTCTCAAACAAGAACCCACCAGGAGCAGACTATGGTTCCCATGACGGCTCACCACAGAGGTTCTGATTTCCATTCCTTCAGTGTTGAAACATTCTCTACTGAACCAGGCTCCACACCAAGTTCACTGGAGTTTGTTTCAATATTGCAAGAATGATGAGTGAAACTACTGCCATCACAATGAACTAGACCTACTGTCACTAAAGTGACCCCACTGTTTCCGATGTTGAATTGTATTAAGCTGAATAAAGATGTATTTGAAAATGTGTTTTTCACTTAATATCCTTGTATATACCATTTCCCCATGGTTTCTGGGAATTCTCATTAGTACAGGATATTTCTTAACTGATTGTCAAATACATAAGGGTGAAATTTAGAATGTTACTTCTGTAAAAAACATCAACTTTCAGGAAAATAGTCCCTAATATCTAAAATATCTAATATATGTGATGGGTGTAATTTATATATGTATTACTCAGTTTTCTATTTTCTATTTGATTTGAAGATGATGAGATTATGGCCTGGAAATGAAATCATATCAATGATAATTCTCATATCAACTGAAAAGTCTAAGAATAACCCCCCAAAAGAATACTAAAATGGATGAATAAGACATTACCATTATCTCTATTGTAAGGGCATCACAATCCTCCTTCCTTTGATATTTGCATTATACTTTCTTGAATTTATAAAACACACACATTAATACAAATGTAGGCTAATTTAAGACAAAAAGAACTCTTAACATAAAATCCCTTCAAAATACTCTTTTTAAAAGTTTTACAAGCCATATTCCAGTTCCTAATGGAATATCTTACAACTTCATGACTGGTGATATTTATTGCTCAGTTTCTGGTGTCAGTAAAATATTTAAGGGCATTAGCCTTTCTTGCTAAACTCCATAAGAGCAGGATCCACACTTGTTTTATTCAGTCTATGTCCCAGCATCTAGCAGTGTTTGACTTACCTGGTTCTGTATTTCCTCACTGTTTGAGGAAAAGGGCTATATATCAACAGCACTGTGTTCAGTTATCTAGTTTTTTGTTTTGTTTTTCCCGGTACCAGGAATCAAACTCATGACCTTGCGCTTGCCAGGCAGGCGCTATGCCGCTGAGCTAAATCCCCAGCCCCTGTGTTCAGTTATCTAGCTAAGGAGTTTGCACATTTTTAATCATTTTGGTTCCCGGTACCGGAGAAAAACAAAACAAAAAAAAAAGAACTACAAGTCAGAAAGGATAGTGTGGCAGAGAGTGCTACAAAGAGCTGTGATGGTGATGGTGTATAACGGAAACTGGAAATGTCAATCTGAACCAAAAATGCAAAAGCATGAGATAAGTATTTAATAACTACTTTGATTTTTCACTAGTGAGGATAAATTACCCTGTGTAGATCATGTGCAAATGAAACCAATCTAAAGAGATCAAACTCAGTTATCAGAGGCAGAAAATATGTTTTCTCTCTTCTATGGAATAAATGGAGTAAATTTATGGCAGTACATACAATGCAAACACAAACAAAATTTATCTGGAAAAATCCAATAAAGGAAGCACATTTACTACACTATGTCTGTTTTTAAGTAACATTCATGATTCTTAAGAGTTTCACAAAAGCCAAAGTTAACTTAATATTGGGTGGTTTTTTAAAAATTAGGTTATTTGCTTTACTTCTAAAGCTCATAATGATAATAAAACAATTCTAGATGATAGATGTGTGAATGTGTGTGGGTGCTATCCAGTTTTAATAGCTAATGTATATTAATGTGAATATTTGTAGGTAGAATTTATATATGCAATATAAACATACTTTTTTAGTTATAAAGCAAAAATATTACAGAGATCATGAATAAGTGCTTTTAGAAGATAAATAAATGTGTTGAAGCTTTTTATTACATTTATTTATGCACTCATCCATCCCTATTCTGTAAAAGTGACTGATTTTTCTTTTTAATACAGACCCCAACTCCGATTCTTCCTTCCTCTGCAAATCTCACCTACCCAAGAATTGATCCTGAGCCCTTTCTGTATACCGTCGGACGGAAGAGGTTGGTGGATGCCCAGTACGAATGCTATGACCGCATGCAACAGTTACCTCCTTACGAAGGAGAAGGTAAAGAGAAGAATATATGTGAATGCATATTTGAAACAACATTAAAAACTTCTTTTGCCCATGGTTAAATATGTGTTGAAAAATTTCAGGTATCAGCCTTTTTCACAGGTGTTTTCCTACTATGGTATGTTTCTGTGTTTCATGCAATGGATATGGTTTTTTTTTTCCCCCTCAAATTCATCTGACTTCTTCTTTGGCTAGCATCTTCCCTCATCACAAAACTTAGGGAAGAACTTAATATTCACAGCTGGCAAGAAGGAACAACATAGGACTGGGGAAGGAAAAGTGGAAAACAACAAGAAGGGGAGGTGGAATATAGTGGGTAGAGAATTTGCCTAAGATGGAATTTGTCAAGCCCTGTCTTGTTGGTTGGAAACTCATGTTCTTTCTTTTCCTTGTCTGGAGAATCTCCTAGGCCAGTGATGGCAAACCTCATAGATCTTTCAATGATACAAACAGCCCACTGACTCTTGTGTGACATAGGTTCACCACTACTGTCCCAGGCAAACATTGTGTATGATCTGTAGAATGCTCTATTCCCCAAATATAGTTAGAGGTAATCATATTCTCTTAGCTGCTGAACTTCAAAAAGAAAAACAGGCGGGCTGGGGATTTAGCTCAGGGGCGCAGCGCCTGCCTGGCAAGCACAAGGTTGTGAGTTCGATTCCCAGTACCGGAAGGAAAAAAAAAAAGAAAGAAAAAAGAAAAACAGAATTGAAGACAAAGTGATCTGGGCACTGGAGCCTTCATTTAAATTATTATCTTTGCCCCCTAAAACATTGCAGGTTCAATAAGACCTTGTACAATCTTGTACATTCTGAGACAATCCAATCTGGTAAGGGGATAAATGGTTAAACATACTCCGTATCTACATGTGGTTTCCTTTCAAATAAAGTTTTAATTTTTAGCTTGTATTTTTAACATTTCCCTTTAAATGAAATATCAAGTCTACTGAAAGATAGAAACACAGTAAGCTTCTGTTTGCTATAGTCTCACTGTTGGTCAAGAATTGAAAGACATTAGAGAAACCATCTCTTTAAATCAAAGAAAAGAGAAACAAATTAAAAAAAACCTGATAGTTTCAGAGCCAAAATGAACACAGTCTGTTTCACTTAAGTCTTAGGTGCCTTGAAAGGGTGAATTTTTATGCTCTGACCTTTTTTTAATTGAAACCTGCTTTCAAAGCCTGAGCTTCATTCTTATGAGTACCTTTATAGATATAAATCTTCATGTTTTAGAGTAAATTTAAAACAGCAAGAAACCTCTTGGAGCCAATGTTGACAAATATAAGAAGTGATCAAACTGAGCATTATTATAATTAATAAGAAAGTAGAATTCTAAAGTAGTAAGGCTCTTTATATGTGATTCACTGACTGACTACAAATGCATATCCAGTAGGAATTCTGAACAATTGTATCACTGTTGGATCAAGAATACAATTACCCAAGGAAATTCCTTGGAGGTTAATCATTTATAACAGCCACATGCTCCTAAATCATATAGATATTAATTTGGTAATAAGGAATGAACTCAGAACCATGGTCTCATGCATTCTAGGCAAGAGATCTACCTCTGAGCTACATCCCCAGCCCTTTAAACTGTTTTGGGGTTTTTTGTTTGTTTGTTTGTTTGTTTGTTTGTTTTTTGAGGTAGGGTTTTGTTAAATTTCCCAGGCTGACCTTGAATTTGCAATTCAGGTGCAATGGTGCATGCCTGTGTGCCATAGTTTTTTTTTTTTTTTTTTTAAACAAGGCTTTCTCAAGGTGTGAAATTGCAGACTTTTACAAAAGATCTCTTGTATCATTTCTGGAAATATTTTAAAAGAAAAGCTTTTGGAGGACAGAGTTAATACATATATGTAATATGCATCTTTTGAAGGACTAATGAAGAAAAAACTTTATGGCTATGATAGATAAAGTTAATACCTTTTTATTGTTGTCACTATTGTTGTTGATAGCCATGTCTCAGTGGAAAGTTCTAGAATAAGGTATGCCGATGTGTCCATGCACATTTAATTACTACTGAAAAGTTCACAATTTTTGACAACTCTCACTATACTTTCATTGCCATATCAACCTGGTCTCCCAAACACAATATTTCGTAGAGAGACTATTGAGGACAAATTTTGGGTAGAAAATTCAGTTACCCCTTATCAATTCTTCCCATACTTTATTGGTTATAAATAAATGAATGGCTTAAAGAAAAAAAGTTGGATGCAACATGCTGATAGACTGAAAAATCTATTCTTTTTGAATAGCCCCATTCTTGAAATTTATTTCAAAAGTTTGAAGAATAAATCAGTGTCTTTAATTTTGTCAAGTAATTCATTCTTACTGAATTGTTCTTTAAATCCTTACTGCTGATAATGATGGGTAACTATAACACACCTGACAATATCTGCAAGACCTACCAATCTAAATCCAGTTTCCTGGCTAGATACTTTAAAGATGGATAAAATTTTGGGACGTAAAGCTTATCTACATACCTCAAAACCCATTTGATTAACAACCAATATATGCCTAGAATTTATTTGTCATACAATTAAATAAATGAAGAGAGTAAAATTCAGTCCTTGGAGCTACTTGTTGAGAAGCTCAGCTTTGTAACCTCTTAAAAAGTAAAACTAGGACCTTCTGTGTTGTCCAGTGAGATAATTTGTTAACAGATTAGCTAAAGCTATCTCAAACTTTATTTTCAGAATAAATGGCTTTGGCTGCATGTAAGATGTCTTGGGGTCAGTCTTCTCCTTTCATTAAAACTGTATGGATTCAATATTCATTCCTTTCCAATGGCCAGGTCCCTACTGCAACCGCACTTGGGATGGATGGATGTGCTGGGATGATACTCCGGCTGGAGTAGTCTCCGTTCAGTTATGCCCCAGCTACTTTCCAGACTTTGATTCAACAGGTAAAGAACTTTTTTCATTTTATATTTTTGTTATGAAGATTTTAGAGTTTCCATGAATGTGGGGAAGATGGCCCCAAAGAGTGAGACGTGATAGCAATCCAGCTCCAGAAGCTGTGAGTGTCAGGGCCAGAGGAGTCCTGTTCCAAAAACCTAGACACAAAATCCGTCCTATTGAAATAAATATGGGATTAAGATACTAAAAGGGGGGTATAAATTTTAGTATAAAAAAGGCCCAGTTGCTGAAGTTAAATGGATGAGCTGCAGATACAACATCTAAATCCCTATGAAAGGGTGAGATTTTTTAACCCCCAAGGGTAAGGCAAGCCATAGTCAGCAGAAGATGAGTAAGTGGCCCTGAATCCCTCAAAGAGCACAGAAATATGTGCATCCCTGGTACAATGTTTGGAAGACCCCTTTTGCTTCCTTCAAGTTAGGATCTCATTTGTCCCTTAAGTCAACATCCCCGTGAAGTAAAGCAGGGAGAATTGCAATTGGATTACAGGGAACTTCTTTTAAAATCAAAGCAGGCTCAGCTACTTCTGGGAGTTTCCATTTTGATAGAAAAGTTGAGATGTAAAGAAGCAAAGAGGTCTGAACAGTGCCCTAACCAAGAGCTGCATTCCTACACATTCCAACTAAATGCTATGTGATGATGATCCTCCAAGCCCTTATTGACTCTTCCCAATACAAGATGCCTGACTTCACAACTACATTAGAGATAACCTGATTGGCTGTTCTGCAGCTGAGACTGCAAGGCCAGATTCAAATGTGAATCTCCAGGGACAGAGCCCAAGAATCAGTCAATTGGAAATGGCAGTACTCGCTTCAAATGGCTGAGCAGAAGATAAAAATGCTTATTAAAACCCTCTGTATAATGCATAATCCATGTGGTCTCCATTGACTAAAACTTATATTGAGGTTCTGCAAGGTGTTTAGCACTTTGGAATGGTGTTTAAGTTTTCACTTATTGGCTTTCCTTTTGGGGCTTTTGAGTTATTAACGTCATGACTGTTACGTTTCATTAACAGAAAAGGTTACAAAATACTGTGATGAAAACGGGGTTTGGTTTAAACATCCTGACAACAATCAAACCTGGACCAACTACACCTTGTGCAATGCTTTTACTGCTGAGAAGCTGCAGGTGGGTTCAGTATTTGATAAGAATGTAATTTGTATGTGGAAATGGATGGATGACTGTAAAATATATGCCACCCAGAATCCAACAGGTTTGTTTTTTTAATGGAAAGAAATCTATGTCAAGCATCTCTATCAAGTGGTATTAGAGGTTGTTTTGTTTTGTTTTCTTTTGTTGTGGTGGTGCTGAGGATCCAGTTCAGGGTCCCACACCTGCTAAGTAAGTGTTCTACCACTGGGCTACATCCCCAATTGAGGTACCGTTAGAGGAAATGATGCTTCTGTTCTTGGTTGGCACTTACCGTCAGAGGGATTTCCATATGCATATGGAATCATCCACTTACAGAAAGAGGACCAATGTCCACAAAGCAGATGAAGAGATTCCCACCCATGCCAGAAGTTTGAGGCACATTTTGAGAGACTCTCCTTTGGGAAGAATTTCAAAGCTTCATATTTTTCTACTACAACTCACAAGCTTAAAATTATACTCTTCTCCCCCTGTGTTAGATATAACTTTAGTTTCATGATCAGCCATTGAAGGAATCCCTTCAGCAGGGTTGTTCATCAGCCCAGTAATGTAGGTATGTCTGTTCAGATTATTTTCAGAGGGATTCTATCCTCATTTGTTAGTATTTGTGTCTTACTGGCTGGTAAGTATGTTGAATGTCATCTCTGCTCAGAAACATGTGTTTAAACCAGTGGTGAAAAATACCAGATAGTCTCTCTTCTTTAGATGCACCAGAAATCTGAAAAGATCACTAAGTCTGAAACCAGGCTCTTCACCTTCTCAAGATGGAAGAAACAGTGTCAGTGTATATGTCCTTCAAAGATGGGCCTGTGTTCTAAGTAATTACTGAGTTGGAGGCTAAAAACATACCATGCTTTTCTTTGCCCTTGAAAAGTTTCAGACGTATATAAAATTTTCCTTTTATTAGAAACAAAAAAAAAACACAACAAAATCAAGATGAATAGCTTACAGACCAGGTTATTCATGAGTTACCTGTCATAAGCACAAGTTGAAGACACCAAAGCCAGTGACCTCCTTACAAATTGCTTAGTCACTGAGACACACAGCCTTGTTAATGCTATAACACACAGCTATTTACTTCATAAAGTCCAGCTGAAATGACATGTCCCTGAATAAAGAGTTTCTGGAATGAATGCTGATAATAACTTTATGGAAAAAATTATAATCATGATACACAAATTGTGATAAATAGTGTGAATCCAAATAAGTAATCCTCAGTGTTAGAGTTTTGACCTCACATACTTGGGCCACTCCTGAGAAAGAAATAAGTTTAAGAAGAAATGGTCCACTCAAGGCACTTAATATAATGATTAAAATTCTTTCTGCTTAGGCTTCATATAAATATTACCACCAACATTTGAAGAAATCAACCTTAAATTTAATTTTAAAATAATAAAACTTCTGAGAGTGACACAAGATGACAACTAAATTATAAACTGCTGATTTAATCTTACACCTTTAGACAACTCTATTACAGGGAAATAAATATTTTTAAAAGAAGTATTCTGAAGGCAGCTGAAAGAATATGAGTTAACTTATATGAAGTGTTATTAGAAAAATAGACAGAATTAAGTTATATGAAGACTTTTTTTTTTTTACAAAAAATGAATTCCTTGGAGAAAAGACAGGAGTTGAGTGTTTATTTTCTTGAAAAAATTCCTAAGTCCTTCTAAGTTATCTGAAGCTTTTAACAGCTTAATTATAAACCAGCTATTCCAGTTTTATTGTCATTACCAAATGTGAAGCAATATATAAATGCCTGGTCCCATTGTATAATAGGCACAATTCAGGAGACGTTGGATCAGCCATTTTGAAATTCTTAGAGTGAAGAAAGGGGATATTTGTTTCAGGAGAGTAACCAGGCACATAACAAAATAAAAGGCTCTATGTTCTTCAAGAGCATGTTAGTAGAATTAGTGCTTTAATCTCAGACTCCTTGTAAGGCAGTTGATAACAATCAAACTGCTCAATGTATATAAATGTCATATATATTCCAGGAAGTCAAAAAACATCATAAAAAACATTTTGAATACCTTTAAAACATTTCAGCAATGTATTTTGGAATAAGATTGAATTCATCTCAAGAAACTGCATTCTTTGAAAATAGATCAATTTATTGCCATAAAATAAATGGATAAAATAATTTCATTCTCTGAAATATTTGCTATAATTTTAGTGGATTTTTAAACAAGGAAAATACTTATTGATTTATGTTTAGAAATAGAATCTATCATTGTTTCATCTGTTTTTTTTTTTCAACTTTTTTGTTCCAGAATGCATATGTTCTGTACTATCTGGCTATTGTGGGTCACTCTCTGTCGATTTTCGTCCTGGTGATTTCGCTGGGAATTTTCGTGTTTTTCAGGTAGGTACATTTGGAGCATCTGCTTTCTTGTTTGCTTCTTTATGTTGCTGAAGTAAATGGTACATTTAGAAGAGCGGGGTCAGGGAAACATCTGCAATTCATGTGAGATAGTAACATACGGTTACTGAGATATTTTCTAAGTTTTGGTGCCATTTTTTTAAACCAAAGGCATGAGGCACTACATTACCTGTTTATGAGAATCCTAACTTCTATATTAGCGTGGTGTAGCCTCTGCTTGGATTTTTATATTGTATTATAGAAAATGAGATTGCCTAGGAAAAATATTGACACCTACCCTCCTTTGTGTGCATAGGATGGGAGCCAAATATCTGATAAATATTGCTCTAGCTAAATATCTGGTATAAAACTCTATACAATTCCCAACAGATGAAGGGACTGTTTATTTTGTTCATAAAGAGGACTAGCTTATCAGAGATTTCTATTGCCATTGCCCTAACTAAGGTCATAAACAAGTAGCACTAGCGCCATAGTTAAGAAGCACAAGAGCACTAGCCAATGAAAATGGTCTGATAATGACCATCTCAATCCAGCACCTTAGACTACTTGGCCACACTATAATAATGACCATCTAATAGGACTCTTCAGCTGAAGCTCTGAAAGAATGACATTTGAAGACATGTTAGCCAATGTAAGAATAAAGAATGAACAAGCCTATGTATAGGAACCCATCTCTGCAAAACCTAATTCAAAGGATATTTTTCTTTAGGTTTTATGTAAGAACAATTACATTAAATAGCAAAATATAAGAAAATACACTGGAATGCCTGTAGTACTTTGTTATCTTGTCTTAAGTGAATGTAAATGGGAGCTTTTCAAATAACTGTACATTTAAATTAGAAACTGTTATAAACACTTTCATCACAGCAACCTGTAGTGAAAAAATAAAACACTATAACATAGCCTTAAACTGCCTTTCAGAGGCATTTTCATAAATGTAAGTTCAAAGAAGGCCATATATATATAACTTCAGATATATATATTCCTTATAGATGCACCACAGTTCAGTAAATATGTTAAAAATCGAAATAAATTAGATAGGCTCTAGTATCTAGATTAATATCTGCAACATGAGTAAAATACAAGTATTTCATATCTTTATTATTGCTACCATCTTCATTATTATTGGCTAGGGTGGTATGATATAAATGATGAAGAAAAGCTGTTTCCTAGGTTCAAATTCCAAATAATTCCCTACGTTGCAAAGATGTTACATTTACTTAGATGGTGCTTCATATAAAGAGTAATAAAATCTTAATTTGATTTTTTGTTAGAATATTATCATGACAATACCAAAGAAAATAAACCAAGGAAAATAACGACCTCAATACCCACCCATAGAATGAGTATTTTTCTTCAATCCTTTAAAAAATTTTTTCTATGTTATTGTCTTATATTGACTAGCCAATATAATTGAAAGTAATTTTTTATCTGAATAGCAAATAATAACACAAGTAAACAGATAACGAGCTCTTTCCATAAATGGCTTAACAGAAGAAAGACTGATAAAGCAACAAGACATAACATATTAATTACTAGAATTTGAAGAGTATTTTCAATTACAGTGATTAAGACACAGCAGAATAATCACATAGCACGATTAACTTTGCAACATTTCCTCATTTTTCAATTGTTCCTCACCATGGTGAATAAATACATCATGACTCACACAACTCTGATTAAAAAGCCTTCTGCTAAAAGCCTACTTTTACCAAGTTTTTAAAATATAACTTTAGGAAAGTTGAAAGAAAAAGAATCTCCCAAATTTGTAAGCATGCAACTACAAAGTATAGTCATAATTTTAAGAGAAATGTCAAGGGGGAATCTCATAGTTCAGTGATAAAATGTGAGAGTCAAACCAACAAAGAAAATAATAATATTCTTTCAACTATAATTACTATGTTAACCTGCTGAAGGTGAGTATTTAAAAGTGCAGCACATGGACAAGTTAAGACATTTCTTAACTCTAATTAGTCCCCAAACAAAATGATTCTGGCCCAACCCTTGAGAGAGTGTCAGACATAGCAGATAGGAACCACTGACTTTGTTCTACTATCTGTCAATTCCAAGAATCCACTAAGCAGAAATTTAAATCAGGGAAGAAACACAAGTCTTTTGGATTTATAATATGAATTTAGCAAGAAGAAACACAAAAGAATCATGAGCAATTTTCACACCTGGTCTCACTCATGACTTAAAAAATACCCAAGCCAAAAATTTCAAGGACATTTTCTTAAAATTAAACTCCATTCCGGCTCTTTGGATGCATGTCTGAAATATTAAGTGATTGTAAAAGTAGAAAGTACATCGGGTTTATCATTGAAATTTATCTTTTAACTAGTAAGATCTTCCCAGAAAGTTTTAACTGTCATGCATAAGACCTTTATTGAACGTTACAATAGAAAGTTTCATGATTTATGTACTTAAATGGCATCATTTATGTGACATCTGAGCAAAATCATGATTATTGATCTCTTAATTATGTATTCCCAGAGATTTTTTACAAAATCCAGACAATTTCATAAAACTTTCATGAAACCAAAAGAAGAAGTTATGCAGTTCCACCTCTGATGTTGTTGGTGGTGGTAGTGGTGGTGTTTGAGACAGGGTCTTTCTATGTAGTTCAGGCAGGCCTCAAACTCACAGCAGTCCTCCTGCCTCAGCCTCCCAAGTACTGGGATTACAGGGGTATGCCACCACTCCCGGCTTCAGGTCCACTGCTAACTGATGCCACATTCATGATCATCCTGTTGAAATCTCACTGTGAAGCCCTCAAAACTCTTGTGTGCCTTCCAAGGTCTATAAAAAAGAGTTACCTTGCAGATGTCCCAAAACGAGCAGGCTAGGGAGGCTCGCAGAGGAATGGAAAATTACTAAGTAAGCAGGAGGCTATGAAACAGCCTCTATTTCACTCAAAAATCATGGACCTTACTTGAAATGAGGCCCTTAAAGCATGTCCCTAATCTTTCTGTGATTTCATTCTGAGTATGGAGGGAAAGGGAAAGAAGAGCTAAATAACCCTAAAACAAGAGCCATGCCTTCTGCGCCTTTGGAAAATTAATGTAGAAATGTATGTAAAATTTTGTTACATCCAAAGAAGAAAATTGAACCTCTTTGCCCTCCTCAGCTTAGAGGGGGAGGAAGCTTCAGTGATTGAAATACTAGAAATGTTAACTGTATAACATTATAGATGTTAACTGTATAGAAATTTAAATAACATTCAGTACAGCACACAGGTTATTTTCAGCCCCATGGTCTAAAGAAAGAAGGCAGCCTCTATAGGATAGTTATTTGGTTTAAGAACTTTATGGGAAAAATAGGACTGGTAATACAGAGAAGGATTAAATATAAATATCAAATTAGTTCAGTGAGACCTCTCACTAATAGATGCCAATGATCAATGTCAGACAGAGGGCTAAGATAAAGATGCCTTTCGAGGTGACTGGTTTGAAAAAGTCACACAAGTAAATATTCATTTGATGTTGGTTGCTCACTTTTTCAACAAGTTTCTAATAAACACTCATCTCATAAGTTTCTAAACGTATCAATTTACATTTCTGTGAAATAATCTTAAATACTTAAACATACCATGTATTCTGTCAAGAAAAGCATAAAAGAACACTCATGACCATAGATTATGACTGACTGATACCCATACCTTTTTGACTGTCAATATTTAATATTTTAAATGTTATTATTATTACCTGAAAAGTTTTAGAAATATATGTTATATATTGTAAGGCAGGAAGGATGATCATTGCATGGGAAAATGTATGGGTAACCTTAGGGGTCAAAAAAGGAGACTTCCCTGCGGCATCCAGAAGGATACTACCACCTACCACTTACTTAGTGTTTTGTATAATTTTATGTTACATCTGTACATCAGATGAGCAGATGAATCTTTGCATCACAATTATATGTCTCTGTCTTCCTTCCTGGTTCTCCAAAGAGACCACTCTACTAGGTTTTCAATTTTTTTAGGAGTGACAACTCCTAAAACTCCATTTAGTTTATTCTATATCATTTCCTCTCTTTCTCTCAGTTCCCATGTCCATTGTGAAAAGCATATGGTACCTGGGTAAACAAAAATTTAAATTACACTAGACAATGTGACTTGAATGTTTATAACAACTATAGGAATGATTCTTAATTTGTATTTTTCTATGTGCCAGTAAACTCAGAACAGTTTCAACTTGCTTCTTTGCAACATTCTTCATTTGCTTTGAACACAACAATCTTTACAGTCTTCTCTAAGAGTGAATACTGCTGTTTCTCACCTGTGATATCATGCTGATTTACACCCTCTGTGAATATCAAAGATCAAGAGTAAATATTAAATACCTTCCAGCACCATAACAAGAACCAAAAAGTACACATACGTATACATGGGATATTAATAAATTGAAACAATTTCTTCAGTCTGAGAAATTTACACAACAAAACTGCAGCTGCAAAAATGAACTTTTCTTAAGTCTGAAAATATGGCATTTTGAGATTCATTCCCAAGTAAATCATTATCTCTTTCCCTTATTTGACTGACACCACAGTTAGGCTAAGACAAAAGTAGATTATGCAGAATGCATATCCTTACGATCTCATGTCACTCAAATAGGAAGCAATGTCCATTGAATGGTGTTTTTTTTTTTTTAAACAAGAAACTATAGTATAATTCATGTCAAGCTTGTGCTGTTTCTACTTCAGACATTTCTGACAGGAAAATTCTATCTTCTCTTATGTCCATTCAAGCAACAGGATATTTGAACTGATAACTTTTACTTAATCAGTGCATCTCCTCTGGCATCCTTGCCTCTCCTCCCCACAGTTAGCATAATCACAGGAAGAGTAGACGCATGACTGTATGGTATGTAAGATCCCTGAAATCAGAAGCTATCTTTTTGCCCCCTGATACTATCCTTAGCATCTATCAGAAGGCTTGGGTCACAGTACGTACACATTAAGTACATAGTAATACATGTTAGAGTGTTGATTTAAACTGCCTTTAAATCACTTTAAAAAGATAAGCATATGTGTCATCAGGTCAGCGTGATAAAATTTTGAAAACTCAATAACAAGAAATTATATTGGACTTTTAAGAAACACAAACTTATTCATTAGTTAATTCTTACTTTAAAGGGTAACGGTTTAGGTTTCAACCATCATTTTCTCTATTTCAAGGAGCAGCATATATGTTTTTATGTATGTACAGTACTACATATGTGCAATATTTTGTATATTTTGGCTAGTTGTTAAACAACAGAATAATGCTCCCTAGTAGTTAATACCTAAGAGTTTGGCAGAATTTCAGTATGATATATAGTGTGATATGAAGCCATCTAGCATTAATTGTCATTCTTTAATGCACTGAAAACTTTTAGTGGTCAGAGCGCAAAAAATATTGCTCTTATATATTTTAAATAGTTTTTGGTGTTTTGAGACAGGGGCTGTGCAGTTCAAACTGACCTTGAACTCGCCATGTTGCCCAAGCTGGCCTCACGCTTGTGGGGATCCTCCTTCCTCAGCCTCCTGAGCACTGGATTTACAGCATACATCACCACACCTGACTTATATTTTTAAAAAATAAGTAGTAAACCCTGTGATAGGTAGTTTTCTAGGTACCTCAAACAAATCCCTTTAACACCTCCTTCCTAGTGGGAAGAAATAAGAAAATAATGGGTAATTCCCCATTGCCCTGTCACTTTTTCTGCCTGGTTGCAGCAATGAACAGTAGACTTTTTATCTGAAGAAGACTCTGAACCTTAATGATTTCTCCTCTTAGCACCTTTCTCTTAATTAATTGTACAACATCTATTATAGTTAAAGTGATTTTATCACTTACACTTCCAGAAACCACTGTAAGGACCAAAAAAATGTGCTATGACTGAGGTAGAAATTTCTTTCTAAAGTTGTTTCTTACAAAAGGCTGAAAATGTCAGCTACTCTTACTGATGGGATCCAGCTCACTTCTTTCTACAGGTTCTCTCACCTGTGGCTAAAGGTACTTCGACATTTTGACACTGGGTAATGCTTTAACGTTACTCTTCTTTCCAGGAGTCTTGGCTGCCAGCGCGTGACCCTACACAAGCACATGTTCCTCACCTACATTCTGAACTCTATCATTATCATCGTCCACCTGGTTGAAGTAGTGCCCAACGGACAGCTGGTGCTCAGGGACCCGGTAAGTGCTGCGGGTTTTGCTTTTCATTATATTGTAAAGAGTACAGTTACCTGTGGATAGTGAACACGGTATTAATGTTTGACTGAAGCAGCAGTTTGCATGCATAATCATATTTACTTCTATGGCTGAATTTCACACTCAGAGAGGCACATTAGTTCTGGGCAGTTCTTAGAAGTAATCGTTACATGTGATAGTGAAGACTGGGAAGAACTGAGTCAGAAGCAAATACAAATCTTCTGTCAAACCATGAGGATTTTTAAATAAATAAACAATACTTTATTAACATCTATGGGAACTGCATTGAGCTCTTCCTGGAAAGAACATAATAAACTAAGGCAGTGCCTCCCAGTGGCCCCAAATTGCCACTAATGGTTGCTGGTGGTCCATCCTAGAGGTTGATCCTTCACTATTCTGGTGCCAAGCTAGGCTTGAGGCAATCACTTCAGTTAGGAACAGCTATGCAAGTACTTAAGTGAGGCACATAAATATTATCGTACTCTATGTCTTCATGTTTAAAAAAAAGATGTATACTAATGTCAGAGCATACAAAAGAATTCAGGAACAATAGGACATACACTCATAATGCTGATGACCATGTGCCCCATTGTAACAAGCAAGTATTAACAGAGCAGGGATCTGAAATCATTTAGTTCCATTCCTGAGAACCATGTATTTATTGAATTGCAACTAAAATGCAAACTACAGCCATAACCGTAGTCATAAATTAAAGAAAAGTATGTCCATCAGCTCTCCATCTACCTGTGATTTACGCTTATGTCCCCTTTAAAGTAAAACACAATTCTTCATTTTTAAAGATATGTTGTTCTCTTAAGCAAACTAAAGGCTGAAGTATGGGCTGCTTTTAAATTTGAACCCAGTTTCCAAAGCACTGAATCAGTAGTTAAGGGGCAGAAAGATTTTCTTATCTAATGCCAAATGAAATATATTTAAAAGAAAAGGTTACTTCCTGAAGAGGGAAACTGTTTCATCCTAATTGTTACCACACCACTTCTCAAAGAGTCTTTATGTCATTCATGAAGAAAAAAAAGAACAAAAGGAAAGAAAAATGCAATGTCACTCCTCAGCGGTAATCTCTCTGTCCTTTCCTATCAAAGTTGTCAGTCTTCTCTCCAGAAGTGTTTGGTTAGACATATATCTCCAGAAGAAGACCACTGTCTGAGGATGTCTAACTGTATAGCAAAGGGTAGCAAGCATATTCCTTCACTCTCTTATACTTTCTTAGGTTAAACTCTAAATAATTTACAGCCTAAGTAAGGGCTGAATAAATCCTGTTTATTGAGTGATGTGAAAATTGCTCATTGTCACTTGTGTCATTTGAGCATTTCATCTCCATAATATCTAAAATTTCATTGTCTTGTTCTTTCTGTTCCTTCGATGATCTTCATGCTGAGAGTCAGGAGGCAGAATTAAAAACATTGTTCTTGCTGCCTTTGAAGGAATCTGGCAAGGTGCTTGTCATTTTCTAGAAATACTTTTTTTCTGAGTCTGAGAGGGACAATACAGGAAGATTAGTTTTTATTGAGAACCTGGGAACTTTGTACCTTGAAAAATGAAACTATCAAATCACATTATCTATAGTTTCTTATGTAAGAGCAATAGAGCCCACATTCTGAAAAACAACATGAATTTTTCCTATCATTTGTTCAGGACAATTGAGCCACCAAAGTCTGTCAGATCTTTCCCGAGATAGGTGCAGGAAGATCAGTTTGAAAAGATTGCCCAAAACTGGGTGCCAGAATAGTCCAGAGTAGAAATTAGACTCCTCCTGCCCAGACATAGGGAGACTGGTACAAGGAAGAACATATCGACGTGAGACAAGTGAACAAGATGCTAGAGTTTTTGAAGTGAGAGATCAAGGGAAGATAAAACTAGACTGGAGTTCTCTATTTCAGAGCCTCTGGGAAAAAAAAAGTAAATTGGGAATGAAAGTGTATAGTGGATTTGAGGGGCACTGTGGGAAGAATATTGCCAAGGGTCAGTGATAGAATGAGGTATTCTCGGATAAATTATTCTTCTTCACTACTCCTATGTCAAAACAAATAAATGATTCTTCTCCAGCTGTATGAACACAATTTTTTTATTTAAAGTTTGATCTATGATTTCCTAGCCAAGATACTGCTCACTTAATGTTACAGGGTATATATTACAGTGTCCCATTGTCTAAAATTGATTTAAAACAACTGGTGATGGCTGAGTAGATCCTATCCAGCAAAATCTCTCACTGATTAGGAGATCTATGGCCCTAAAAGTGAAGGAAATAAATCTCAGAAAGGAGAGAGTGGGAAGCAGAGCCTCAATCTAGTATATACAGATGTTCAGTGTTTGTGTAACCGATAAGCAAGTGTGTGCAAAGGAATCAGAGAGCTTAGTTAAGTCTAAGATAACTGAAATGAGATTTAAGGTGCCAATACCATGAAGAATTTCCACTTTGGATTTAGCCAAGTTAAATGCCTACTAAAACAAGCAAATAAAAATAAGAAATCTTCAAAGGAATATAACAGAATCCAAATTCTATAACATAACATTTACAGTATTCAGAACACAATTCAAAGTTACAAGACATACAAAATTTTCTGAAAGCATGACTCATTTTTAAGAGAAAATACACTTGAGATAGACCCTGAGTTGACCCAAGTGTTAAAATGAGGAGGCAGAAATTTGAGAGTAACTAGTCTAACTATCCTGAAAGTTGCAAATGAACGAAAACATAAAAAATCTTAGCCATTATAAGTAAAATTCATTAAAAATTATTTGAAAATTCTCGAACAGAAAAAATGGTGCAGCTGAAATTTGAAAATAAATTGCACAAGATTGGCTTAATATCAGAGTGGGGACGATAAAGAAAAAAGTGAACTTTTTCTGAAGGTAAACTTTTTCTGCAGCTAAATCAATACAAAATTATCTAATTTGAAGGTAAAGATAAAATACTGGAATCAGAGAATGAAGAGTGTCTTATAAATTTATGAGAAGGTGCTCAAAGATTAAAAATAAAATATTTGGCGTGGTGATGCACGCTTGTAATCCCAGCACTTGGGAGGCTGAGGCAAGAGAATTGTTGTGAGTTCAAGGCCAGCCTGGGCTACATAGTGAGACCCTGTCTCAAAAAGACAATAAATAAATAAATAAATAAATAAATAAATAAATAAATAAATAAATAAATATTTGGAATGACCTGAATAGAAAGAATGACTTCAAAAAAACCTGAAATAAATGCCAAAAATTTCCCAAATTTTATGTCAGCCATAAAAAGATTTTCTTTGTTCTCACCAGCCTTTACCTCAAGGAGAAGGAATCCTCACATACAGAACTGAGGTTATTGAGTGAAAATTGCCATACTTCTCCCTGGAAATGCTCTAATTTCAGAACATTCCAACAAACCAAAGCATCCCAAATTGGATTTATTTATTTCTCACAGATTTATGTATCTGAGAGAAACAAAACAATGTAAGTTAGTTTTAGGATACCTTATTAATCATTAAAACAGCTTTCCCCTCAAAATAATCTTTTAAATGATCTCTTTGACGGGAAAAATTGTTTACACCTTGTTTCACAAATTGTAGTAAAATTTGGAAATCTGTGCTTTTATATTGCAAAAGGAAAGGATAAATGGAAGAAAGAGACCCTACAGAACACTAGAAAATTGAATAAATGGCACCTGAGTGTTTACATGCTCCTTGGAAAATTTTTGCACACACAAGAGTATATAGTTTGTCAAGGCTGAAGAGCACCCTGTAAAGGCAAACAGATGTTCTACCGTGGAGAGAAAGGGTAAAACACTGGGTCTAGCAGGCTTCCACCTTCTAAAAAACGCCTTTGAAAACTCAGAAACACATGACTGAAACTCAAGATTCCCCCAGCTCTGCAACCATGGTCAGAGGCTAGTCCAGCCTTCTGAAAGTTCTGCTGATGTCAGAAGCTTGAGCCCTGCAGATAACTACTGACTTTGACAGATATCTTTGCATAATGTTTACAGAATGTTTGACAGAATGTTTGTTAATGTGTTCAACTTGGCAGAATCTGCTAGTCTGCTTGGTAATTGTCTACAGATCAAGTGGGTTATTTCATGTTAATATCAGTATCTAATCAGATTCTGGGTACACAGTACTTGTTTGGGCATTTGATGAAATAGTTGATCTAGGTATAAAATATTGAAAAATATTATAAAAACTACCCAAAGAAATATACATTTAGACTTAAGCATCTACTGCTACCTTCCATATAAATGTTATTGGATTTTAATCCTGAAGGTGGAGATAGAAGAGTCGGCAGAAACATAAAGATGAACCAGACGCATAATTAGCAGCAATTGTCCACTCAATATGGAATCTAGACATATATTAAATAAAACTTGAAAAAAATTAAACTAACGAATTTAAACCATATATTTTTGCTATTTGGGGCCTTTTAAAATGTCTTTCCCATCAAGAAAAATATTTAAAAATTGACTTACTGATTCTTCTTTCCTTGCTCAAGTAAATTTAACTTCATACTCTTCCTCTTGTGCCAAAGTGAAATGATAAGAAACCATTTTCAGAAAATCCTAGGAAGTGTAAATAACCATGCTGAGTCACCAGAGACCACTCAAACAGGCAGCCAGAGTTTATTTCTATTTCAAAGCAAGACTTGGCAGAAATAAATTGGCAGTTTTCATTCAGTAAAAAGCAGTATGGAGTTAGAACTATGTAGACCATTTCAAACTAATTTTGTGAGTTGTTCCTTAACATATTTCTGTAGTGAGTGATGTGAGTTTTGTTTGTCATAAATTTCCAAACACACTTACTTGATTCCCAATAACTCTCGAGACAGATATTCTTTGTAAACTCTCCCTTTTGCTTAGGAAGTTCATTCCTGCATATATATTGGTCACAATTAGGGGTTGATTCTGCCTTTTAAAATGCAGCTGCTTTTCCTTATGTTCAATGAATCCTGAAAGGAGAAGCACACAGAGTACATGTTGGTTTAGCAACACCCGGCTCCCAGTAAATTAATTACAACCTCTGTACACTACATAGAAATGTGTGGTCCCGAGAGCTGCTGCCCGGCTGAAAGTCCCTCCATGGCTGCCTTGCTTTATAAAACGAAGGCCTGAAGTCTGGAGAGAATCAAAGAAAACATACAAAAATGAACTTTTTCAAATGGGAAAGGGATCAAGAGTTGGAGAGAGCAGAGGAGGGAAAGAGATGTGGACAGAAAAGAGTTAAGATGTGTTATATACATGTGCAAACTCTTCACTACAAATGTAAGCAGTATATACCACAGACGTGTGCTAATAGAAAATACATAATTAATTTAAGAAGAAAAACATGAGAAGGACAAGCATCTGATGTATGGAAGAACTTTTGGTAAAATAGTAACACAAATAACCACTGGCTTTGCCTGAAGTTGTCAGTGCTCAGTTTGGTTATTGCTACTGTTGTGGGGTGGTTTGGGTTGCTGGTAATTAAGCACAGCTAGACATCCTTGGGTAGTGCTCCTCATCCCAAAATATTTTAAAACCCAGTGGACATTTAGCAAAGTCTGGAGACATTTTTCATTGTGACAACTGGGTGGGAGATACTGCTAAATTTACAACAATGCACGGAGCAACCTCCTATAGTTAAAAAAAAAATTTATCTGCTCAAAATGTCAGCAGTGTTAGATGAGAAACCCTAAGGGACAATTTAGGGTACTATTAATCTTATGTAGTTTAAGCAGTTGTTATTACTATTCAGACTGTGTTATGCAGTTAACTTGATTTTCCAGGAAGGTGGCTCCTAAATCTTCATTGAGTAGCAAGCAAGGATTCCATCCTAGTCTCTTTGTGCAGAGAGAGCTTAACAAACACTTGAACCTAACATGGAAACAAAAGTATACACATGCACTAGGCTCAGCTCCTGGATCATACACGATGTTTGTTGATGGCTTTGCTACTCTGGAGTCTTGTCTTGGTTACTTTTCTCTCATTGCTGGGACAAAATACCTGTTGCCCAAAATTGAGGAAGAAAAGGTTTATTTTGCTTACAGTTTGTGGAGGTTTTAGTCCATACTTGGCAGGTTACAAGCAGGGTAGCACATGGCAGAGGGCTACAGCTCATGGCAGCAGAACACAGCAAAAGCAACAAGCACAAAAGCCAGGAATGGCCGCAAGCAGCCTCTTCCTCTCCCTTACATATGCAAACTATCCACCCCAGGGTGGGTGTAGGTCTCACACCCATAATCAATCAAACTCTAAAAGCCTGCCTCATGACCGCATGAGGCTTTGGGGGGACACCCAGACACAAACCATAACAAGTCTATTTGTTTGCCTTATATCTGGTTTGATGCCTCATGAACCATAGGGGAAAAAAGGACATAAAAGTCACTGGCAAATCCTAAATTATGTTTTTTAAATTATGAGTCTCAGACACATTGCAGGAAAATGAAGCAGTCTAGTCTAGATCAGTCTCTGAGATGTAATGGGGAAAGAGCGTTGTGTGGACTTGGCTTCCATTGGCCTATATGGTTATTTACATAAAATACCCGGGGTCTATACACTGTGGCTTTGGCTTGTGGATAAAGGGGCTGGAACATGTTGACAGATACTTGCGAAGTTTCCCTGTAAGCTGAATGCAAATTCTTTGGCTCAGATTTACTTTATCCTCTGTTCACTGCTGGACTTTTACCTGTGCCTTCCACTGAGTGTCTTCGTTTCTTTCTGACAGGTGAGCTGCAAAATTCTGCACTTCTTCCACCAGTACATGATGGCCTGCAATTATTTCTGGATGCTCTGTGAAGGGATCTATCTCCATACTCTCATTGTGGTGGCTGTGTTTACCGAGGAGCAACGCCTGCTTTGGTATTATCTCCTGGGCTGGGGTAGGTATTTCCTCCAGCTGAATTTTGACCAACCTTAACCTGTGTTTAAATGTTTACAGTCATCTAGTTCTAGTTTCAGCCTTACAGTTCTAGTTTCAAAGAACAAAGTAATGGACCTATATCCTTCAAGGGTACAGGCAGGAGTTCAGTCCCTGAGAGCTTGATAAAACCCTCTTACAGTCTCACTCACACTGTGATGCACTGAAGGTTCAGCACAGAAAAAGAAGGCTATGCCTCTAAGAGTGTCCAGAAAATAAGCTCAACTAATGGATGAACACAAAATATGCTCTGATTGAGAAATATTGTTGGGTTCTCTTCTATGTTATTCTTTATATAGAATATTCTTTCATGATGCAAAGGAGAAATTCATATTTTAAATTCTGAACTTCCTACCCTAGCCTCATTTCTGTCTCTCAGTGGGAGTCCTCCAGTGAAAGTCTAGAAACCTGAGTCCAGTTGAGAGGCAAACATAACCACAGGCTCCAAGTAGAGGGCCGCCTGGTAAGGCAGTGGCTGTGAAAAGCCAAGGGCTGGATTGTGTAAGCTGGTGCTTTCTCTGCACAGAATGACTAAAACAGGACACTAGGGTTTCTCCGGTCTTCTCATACTCATATATACTCAATGATTTCTAGGCTTCCAAAGGTCATGCCAAGAATCAACGGTACAGTTTCATGCCCCCAATAAAAATTGGTGCTGATCAAATGCCTTTCAAGATCCGAAAATAACATCCTACTTCAGGCTCACCACACTCACATGCCCACACACAAATGTACACATGATTTCCGCCAGATATAGATCACTTTTCTCCTTTGAAATAAAAGTTGTGGCACATTCCTTAGACCAGTTTTGAGGATGCAAAAACATCTCTATTGGCCACACTCAGGAAATTTTCCACGGGGTGGGGAGGTAATAAATTTATGATTTCCTGTGATGTTCACTATAGACAAGGACATCCCAGAAGGAAGAATATACTGTTCTATCTAAACTGATGCATTATAATTTAGCTACAAAACATTTTGTCACTATTGCTAACAGGCAACAAAGACATCTGCTCAGCTCACATAAGCAATACAAAAGAAAAAGAGAAAAACTATTCAGCTATATCTAGAAGAAAGTAATGGTAACGAGTAAAATACTTATATGGTAACTTAACCTTCCTTAATTGGCAGCTATTTAAGACTTCATCAGATTTAAATCTTTCTATATCAAGTAGCAAGTACCTTTTCCTTGTAATAAAATGAGGAGGTGGGATTCAGATTTCCATATGATTCTTTTGCTGTCTAATTCTAAGATAGGTATTTCAATATAAATCCAGGGAATGAGTTTTTCTTCCTGAACTCTAATGGGAAATGGTATGTGAATAACAATCCTATTTTGTGTAAACAGTCCAGCTCTAAATTATTCAGGTCAAGCATTTAATCAATGACCTTACTGAATTACATGCTTCATGAGTTTAGAGGCTGGGGTTATTCTTAGGTGAAAACATAGTTATTTTGAGTTTATCATTTTTTGCATATAATTCACAGAAAACAAAAGTACGTACGTATTTTTCTGAGACACGTTTCTTAATCTGTTGATAATAACAAAACCTCTTCCTACGATATCTCCATCAAATCAAATAGTATTCTATTGCACATAAATACACCACAATTAAAACAAGAATCTTTTTTAAACAAAATTATAAATTTCAATTACATTTAAAAGAATGAAAATTTATTTTTTAAAAAAGATGTAATTTGTTAGGCTGTGTGGCCAGTAATTTTCTCTTTTGTTCAATTTATAAATTTGAAGATTTTTTAAATCGGTACTTCAAGTTTAGTCAGGAAAATGGACACTAAATTGCCTCTATCAAGGTTCTGCAGTCAAAACTTCTAGGATAAGGAATTCATTGACTTCTCTGAAAGGTTTAAATTTAAAAAGAAACAGGATTGATAAGCATGATACAAACAAATTGAAAAATGGAAATCCTAGAAGAAATAATTTGAACATCAAGAAAAGTTTTGTAAGCAATCAGACTATTGCTGCTATATGCTCTCCCAGGTGACTTCCCCAGGAGTAACTCCATTCCTCTCCATTGGAACCTCCTCAACCCACAAGGAAAGACTTTATTCTCCCAGTTAACAATCATCCACAGAAAGGTCATCATCATAGACGTAATGATAGTAGTAAGAGTCCTGGGTTTAGTGTCTCCACTACAATGGGTAATTTGTGAGAGGCTTTTAATTATCTGATGGTCTTAACCAAATTCTCTGAAGCACATGATGTTCTGGCTGTTCTAACAAGGAGCATTTTCACCTGTTTTGACCAAAGGTAATTTTTGTACAAACATCTGAGGAATATCTTGAAAGGCACGCTAAATTTGCCAGGATTTTCCATGCAAATCTAGTTTTCAATTACAACCAAGGAACCAACTGTGATTTGTACTTCTCATGTTTTTAGGGTTCCCACTGGTGCCGACCATTATCCATGCTATTACTCGGGTGTTGTACTTCAATGACAAGTAAGTGTCAGTGACAAGTGGTTTTAAATTGATATGTTCACAAATAAATATATTTGTACTTACGCATCCATTCCCTTTATTTCAGCTGCTGGATGAGTGTGGATACCCACCTGCTGTACATCATCCACGGCCCTGTCATGGCGGCACTGGTGGTAAGAATTGGTTTTAAATCTACTCTTAACAGTATTATCTCTTTGTTGGAACTTTTGTGAAAGTATAAGTATTTATATGTAGCATATGTATTATAACTTTAAAATGAAGAGAGCTTAATTAGTTGTTATCCTGGTGCATGCATTTGCCTAAACTTCTCAAGTGTATCCTTTACTACTCCATTTTAATTAATGTAGATTATTTTTCAAGGAAGTTATTTTAAAAATAGATATTATTTATAAAAGAAGGCTAGGTTCGCTGTCTCTACTACTCTACCAATACATTTAGGAGTCCTCATTGCATTTTCAGTTCATTTTCCTTTTCCTTTTCTTGAAAATGAAAGGACAAGATGGCAAGTTTTAAAAGTACTCTTCAAAATCTGTGTAAAACTTCTAAAAATCTAAGTAAAGAATGAATACCCTCATTAGACTTGAACTTAGCATCTTTACATGTACAAGAAACACGTTTTCTCACTTAGGAGAAAAAAGAGAAAAGGCGTACAGATGCAAGAAGGGTCTCTGGTCACCCTGCCACCGAGCCATCTCCTGAGCCTCCTGGCGGGTCTTCCATGTTCTCTGTGGGTGACATCGACTCCCCACGCTGGATAAACAGGAAACGAGGACAGGACATGGCCTTACGTGGTACCTACCTAATGATTTTCTCACATTGTCATGTTTTCGCAGGTGAATTTCTTCTTTCTGCTCAACATCGTCCGCGTGCTGGTGACTAAGATGAGGGAAACACACGAGGCGGAATCCTACATGTACCTGAAGGCTGTGAAGGCCACCTTGTTCCTGGTGCCCCTGCTGGGGATCCAGTTTGTCGTCTTTCCCTGGAGGCCCTCCAACAAAGTGCTTGGGAAGATCTACGACTACTTCATGCACTCTCTGATTCACTTCCAGGTAAGGAACCTAACAGCGTATTTATTCAGCTAGCTGATCTGTCTACCTCTGATGCCCATGATCTTAAACACTGTAACTTACACTCTTTAATTCAACAAGCCCAGCCCAAGTTCCAAAGAAAAGCAGGCGATTTAAGTCTTTTGTTTCTATGTGACATGCCTGCTTTCCCATGACCTGCAGGACTCTCAGCTGGCCCCACGCACGCAGGTGGTCACACATACAGTAACTGTCAGGCCTCCCTTTCATAAATAAATGGGACTTTGGGGGCTGGGGATTTAGCTCAGCGGCAAAAGCGCCTGCCTGGCAAGCGCAAGGTCGTGAGTTCGGTTCCCGGTACCAGAAAAAAGCCAAAATAAATAAATAAATAAATAAATAAATAAATAGGACTTTGGGGTAATGAGATGCAATGAATTTCTAGAGAACCACCTATCTCTCTGCTCTGTTGTCTGTTTGTTGGGCAAATGTGAGGAATCCCGCTAAGACACTTTGGTGACTATAAAAGAAAGTGATACCCACGTACCTCTTCACATAAAAGAATGGAGGGAGGCCGCAGGAGTAGTCCTGGAATGTTCAACATCTGCAAGACTAGAGAGGAGAACAGCAGCCCTATTTGCATTCATTCTGCCCCACATCCAAAGCTCCACTGAAGGCATACTGCTAGGAATTCCACAGAAAGTTAGGGCATGAATGTCCTCAGGCAGGGGTGATTGTAACTCAGGCTCTTAGGTTCTTTATCCCAATTGAAAATTCCAAATTAGGTTTATTTCCTACAGCCAAGACTTAGTGTGAAAAGGTAGCCAAAGTCAGATGTGTTAAAAAGAAATTTTACATAAAGGAGAGATGACCGGAATCTGGGGGGCAGACCTTTGGAGACAGGGAAGGCAATCTGGAGAGGGGACATAAGGGAATAGAAAATTATCAAGATGCCTACATGAATGGATCAGTTGCTTAAAACAAACCTCATCACTCTGTATTGCTAACATGCACAAGCTCTTTTGGAGAAAAAGTTTAGGGATTATTCTAATAACTTTAGGGATTATTCTAATAACTAATAATTATTGTTTTGGCCATCATGAAAGACTGAACACAAGAAATCTCAACAGTGAGCAGGGCCTTCGAGGTTACCCAGTCCATATCCTTGTATAAGAGATGGGTGTAGTTATAGTACTGTGCTAGGGATGGTACTGTACTAGTACAGGCTCACAGCCACCTACTTTAATATGCTTGTACAGGAGTCTTCTACTGAACTTTACAAGATCTCAGTTTTTAAATTTTTAAGTTCAACAATGCATTGCAATCCACTATCATCAGGATAGTCCACCGCATAGTCTACTAAAAATCTCCACAATAAAGACAGCAATATATTGCCCAGATTTACGAGAGCTGTCCTAGTTGCCAAATAGTGGAATCATAACAAGAAAAATACATTCCTAATGGAATACTCTGGAAGCATAGCCCTGGATGTGGGGACTGTGTACTTCTTTTTCCTGCCTTTATATTCCACATGCTATTGCTGTAGAGAAATGTTTCTGTCCAATCTATTTATATTGATTATGAAATAAAATACTGCACACAGCAATAACTTCAACTGTATTTTTCCTTCTCTTTGTAGGGGTTCTTCGTTGCGACTATCTACTGCTTCTGCAACCACGAGGTAAGAAAGCATTTCAGATGCTACTCACCAGTTTATATGTGTTTCACAGTTTCCAGAGGGCCTCTGTGTACACTGCGCTTGATCTCGTTTCTACAGTTGACCTCCAGGAGTTTCATGATTAGCAAGACTGTCCAATTCCCACCACTCCAAGCTGAATGTCATCTCCAGGCCATGGACAATTGCAAATGGTCCCCAGACAGTACCCAAGTTCCAGTTCCCTGAGTTTCGTGCTGAATGGGTCAGCACGGATGGAGATAGCTGTTCGGTGTTCCCGCAGAAAGAGAAGTCCTGTCCCTATTCTTTTTGGGAGACCCTGGTCCTTGCTAGGACAGAGCCAGCATCAGCCAGTTTTTCCTGGCCCACTGCTGTCTTTTCCAAGTGCTTAGTACTTACTATTCAACATTTTGAAAGTCACCCTGAAGCAAAGATTCTTAAATAAATCATCTATTATTTGAGCACTTATATAAGTAGAATCTAGAGATCCGCTTGGCCGGTGTACTCCAGGTTTTGTAATCAGAATACCCTTCCTTCCAATGCGATCCCACCTGGGATTGAAATTTATGAAACATAAATGTGAACTTGCTGTAGCCCCAGATGTTCTTCCAGGAAACTTCCAGGTTTCAAGGAACATAGTTTAAAATCTCCCTCATTGCTCAGGTGAGAAATCCAAGCTCCAGGAAAATGCACCTTACCCAGTGTCACAAAGGTTGCCATCATGACAGCCACTCTAGCGGAGAATTTCTGATTCTCTAATAAATGACCTCCATCTCAATTAAATATCTATTTCTATAAGGAGCTTTAAAAAAATGGAGCATGCTTGCCATATAACTGTAACTTTAAATGCAAAAGTGGCTTAGTTCATTTTAATTAATTCCTATTAAGAATAATTTTATGTAAAGCAAGTCACATTTTGTTAAGATATCAACATATTATTTTCCTGGTAGTAATTAGAAACATTTTCTAACCATACCAATGTATATGTGATTTATTTTCTATTTGTTAATTTTGTAGTTAAATAATATTTAGTGACCATCTGAAATATTTTAGTACTCTATAATCTATTACCCATCTCTAACCCAACATGGCAAAGTTTTTATTATTCTCTTTTCATTTGGGACATTTTATTTTTTCCTTCCTTTATCGTTTCATCAATACCTCATTCTTTTATTTAACAAAAATATATTTTGCATTCATTATTGCTAGGAGCCAGAGTAGACTCCTAGTATGAAATGAGATATTCTTCTGTTACCAGCTGTTATATTATCCCCTTTTTAATTTTTTTCTTTTCTTTTTTTGAATAGTAAAAATCAATAAATGAGTAGGTCTTAAATTGTCCTATATAGAGTACCACACTAGTGAATATTCTGTGAAAGTATACCTATGTTTTCTGAGTTGTTTCAGGTGGCATGAAAAAATTTTATTCACCTAAAATAGGGCCAGGGATATAGCTCAGCAGCACTGCACTGCCTGGCAAGTAAGAGGTCCTGCATTCAATTCCTGGTACCAAAAAATAAAATAATGTCAAAGTAGGGCTAATATCTGATTCAGGAGAGGCATGCTTTAAAAAGCACAAAAGAATTTCATGCATTTGAAACCAGTACTGCAATATTTATTTTATCTTAACTATGATGTCTTTGGAAATGTCAGACATAGCAAACCCAGGAGAGAGTGTCCCTAACAACTGAAATGTTTTGAGTTCATTTGAGTCTGTTATCTCTGTTTTATGAAATAAAGGTATCATACCCCTTTTCATTAAGATCTGGTTATCAGAGGAAGGTGCAAGTGTGCCATTTCTAATAATATGGAAATTGTATGCTGTGCCAGATGTAATATTGTAACCCCTTGCATTTCGGGCACCTGGGTCTCAGTTGAGCGTTCTGTATACACATCACCTTACAAGACTGAACACAGGCAGGGTACTCACACTTGGAGGAAGTTATTTCCAGCTGAGATAGAGCTGTGACAGGACTTTGGCTCCATACTGAGTTTTAGCAGAGATGTAGGGGAGTGATATGTTAGTTATACAATGGTGAGATGGACATTTTAATTTAGATTTATTATCAGTGTGTTGTCCCTGGTTGCTAGAAATGGATCATATAGAGGGCCTGTGCATAGATGAAAAGCAGGATAGTGTTATTGTTATTTTCTGTTGTTGGGAGTTCGAGACCATCCTGAGCTACAAAGTGAGCTCAAGGCCAGCCTGAACTACATAACGAGACCCTGTCTCAAAAAGACCAAAAAAAAAAAAAAAAAAAAAAAAAGGAAAAAAAAAAAAAAACAGCAAGAATGGTTGAATCAGTATGTGAAGCAAGAGAGAATATTTTTAAGGTATTAATGACAATGTGTCTTTTATTGTAATAATTTTTTAAGCTTAAACATCCACTTTATTTTTGGTCATGCAGCATAAACTTGTCATTTGCACTGATCAGTAGAAATTCTTAGAAGTACGGAATAGATATTTTTTGCAGTAATCTGCTACTTTTTAGTTTTGTTCAGCTATAGAGAAAATCAACAAATTGAAGACAATACGAAAGATGAACTTAACTCCTAAATTCAATCAGTTGTGTAAAAACCAGAGCTCCAAAAATAAAAGAGCTACATAAGCAACTTTATTGTTACTGCTTTTAGTTGTGATTACTTTAGTTTTCACACTGAGAGCTTTTGGCTTTAGCATAATCTGCACCTCTTGTTTTCAATGTAGTTTATCATATTTATAAAAGCAGTTTGGTAAGTTTAAGTCTTTCAACCAAAGGAGACTGACATTTTATTATTCAAAGATTGTCACTGCATTAGTCGAGAGTTTCATGTGGCACATCTAGTCTCAAATCCTGTTGGACAAGGGCAAATCCCTAATATGTGGTCATTATCATAAAATCTAGCACTTTGCCGGGTATTTATTTTCATGATCAATGATATGTAGACATAGAGGAAACTGCTTTGTCATAGGTGGCATCAGGTAAAGTGCTTCCTGAGCATTTCTTTCTAATAAGATGTATACTCCATATGGTGAAGCCAAATAAACTTCCATCCACTGGGAAAAGAAAGGGATCGGGAAGAAGATGAGGAACAGAGCAGGTCATAGGAGTGGAAATAAGTAAAATGCACTCTATGCAACCAATACACCAAGGAAGCCTCATCCTATTTTACTAAACTGCTCTAATAATAAAGTAAAATCATCAACTGCAGAAATGAATGTCCACAATACAAGGGTACTGGCTTTCTATTGGGGAAAAAATGTGATGTATTCTTACTTAATAGATGCATAAGAAGAAGAAAAAAACAGCAGATAACCTTTGCAGAGAGTAACGCAGTTTTCCATTTTGCAAGTCTCTCTTCCAAGGTGGCCACAACACAGAGAGTTAAGAATTGCCAGTTCCACTTCCTTTCACCTCTGATGAGCTCCAAGAGTCATGAATGCGAACTTTGCTTGGATCATTTCGCAATCATATAAACACAAGGTTTCCTTTTTACTTCTAGGTCAAAGCCACCCTGAGGCGCCAATGGAACCAGTACAAAATCCAATGGAACCAGCGCTGGGGGCCCCGCCCCTCCCACCGTCCGGCTGCTCCTCGAATTGCAGCCCCCGTTGAGGTTGCCGGTGATAACCTCCCAGTGTGCATCTGCCACCAGCCCCCGAGGAATGATCCACCCAACAACCAAGGCGAAGAGGGTGTTGAGATGATCGCTATGAATATCATCGAGCAAGAGTCATCTGCTTGAATGTGAAATATACGCAGCATTGTGATTACTGAGCCTTCATTTCCTGGGAGAAAAAATAGATCATGTATTTAAAGTGATTCCCATCCTCCCAGGAGCTGAGCATATCATTTGTGAAGACTTATTAAGTGAATTTGTCCACAGTGATTCTGGAGAAAGTTATTCTTGGTACTATTGCTTTGGGAGACAGTCTAGGAATGGAGTCTCCCACTGCAACTTGTGATCTCCATCATTCACCCAAAACTGAGATGCAGATGTCTTAGTAACGCAAGCATAGTGTCCAAGAAAAACACAATTAAATTGACCTAGTTCAGATACGGGGTGCTCCTTGTAAATCTTGAGCCATTTATACCTTTGAAAAATTAAAACCACTGTCAATATTTTTCTTTTTAACTCAAGATTTTGAATTGGACTATTTCTGTATTAGGCTATGGATCTGACTTTTAATTTTTTAATTTCAATCAGTTCTGATATTTCTCGCATTTTATCATCCATACGGTATAAACTGCACAGATTACATGACCTCTGCAGGACAACATGGATTTCAGATATAAAGGTGGCTTGTGAAGTGGGTAGAAAGACCTGCATTTGGCAGGAAGATGTAATGCTTTGAGAGCAAAAGGAATTTAGAGGCAAACTGCTGGAGCTGTTACACATTCAGCTTGGTGTGGGATGATCCTGTCCATTGGGCAGGCTGTATCTGCTGAAAAGAATTGGTCTCCACATTGAATATGCTTTGGTCACTGACATTTACAAATGGGGAGGTCACAAAGAATCCATTGCTAAATTTTTCACAAAACTGCCAAAATGTAATTCTTAGGGGAAGAGAATACTCTGTAAAGAGAGTTTTCTACTTTCCTAAAGTACAGGATTTATAAAGCAAATCATTCCAAGGCTTATAAAGCAGATTACCTCTTGCCCTTGGGTGCTATCTAGCAGTAAAAGATAAATTTGCTCAAGAATGGTAATTAAAAGACTCCATATAAGTCCATTAACTGCCTTTCACCCAGCTTCAGAACTGAACAAGAGCTCAGTCTTTTCCAGGAAGAATCAGTAAGGCTAATTAGAAATTAGTTTAGAATTGACCTCTTGTTTGCTGCTATTAGCAAAACAAGAGGAGGAAAATGTAATTGCTACAAGTGAAACCACATATTAATTTATGTTAAAAGAAAACTTTCTCATTATAAATTAATTATATTTCTGCATCTCTCTTTACTTCCCGGTATGAAAGCTTCAAAAATCCCTGAATGAACCAGGATCATTGCTGGCACCAGAAATTAATTTGTAAATTTGTAACAGTAATCAGTTACCATTATTTAATTTGTGTGTTAAGTGAGGGCTTGCAGTGCTGTAGATTTCAAGTCTCATGTGTGTCCTTTTATGCCACTTTTCAGAAGCGGTTTAGTTTTGGGAAGACAATAATTGTTTTGTTCTGGTTATATATTTATTGCGCCGGGAGAAAACTATTTTTCTCAGAAAAAATGTTATTTTGGATACTAAAGTAGTTTAAGTCTCCTTTACTGAATGTAAGGGGGGGGAATTGAAAAGATGGTATTTTTGCAATCACAGTGTTATAGTAATGTTCCTATTTTTGTTTACAAACGTGGAAAACAGAGTATTTTGGGCAGCTCTAGTACAAATGTGATAATATATTGCTAAAATATTTTAGATGTTATTGTGCTAAAATTGTGTGGGCTGAAGAAATCAAAATAGCTTCTAGTATTGCACATAGTGATAAAATTATGTGAAATGTTTATGCTATGTATATGTATATGTATATGTATAAATTAATAGAGAATAATAAAGGCAAAATGATGTATATTTGCATATTTTTTATAAAATATACCATTCATCTTCTCATTCATTCATCTTGTCTCGTGCTCATTTCATGCTTTTGTTTTGCATTTCAGTCATGAGCTGCCAGTATCCCACCTCGTTTTGTATTGCAGAAGAGGGAAAGATAATCTAAAAATATAGATTAGAAATGATGTGCAAAACTATCAAGATCGCTAATTTTATTAGCGCAATCACATCCAGTATTGGACTTTGCTATAAACTCAGTGCATGGTTCTCATATCCTTGACAAAACAAAAATCAAACACAACTCTCAGTCTATATTGTGTAAGTTTAAGGACCACCCAAAAAAAAATCTAAATCAAGAAAGTATATCCTTTCATTGTTCTTGGGTTTGGTTTCTTTTTTTTTTTTTTTTTTTTTTTTTTTTTTTTTTTCATTAATCTGGGACCAGACTTGATTGTCCAACATCACACCAGATCATTTGAATTGAGCTATATCCCCAGCCCCAGAATTGTTAGTTTTTAATATAGGTCAGGAGAAAGAGGCTAAGACTGGATAAAAGGCTAACTAATTAAATATCATTTGCATTCATAAAGGCCAGTATTGGAAAGATTTTCAGATCTAGAACACATGAAATGGGAAAAAATAAGGATGAAGTGAGAAGAGTGAAGAACTACTAAAAAGGAACAGGAGGAATTTGTAGGCACTTCATGTTGTGTGATAACATCCAAAATTGTTCTCTTGAGCGCTGGAGAACTTTTCAGCAAAGGTGGAAAAGAGCTACATCTTTCCCTGAATGTATGTTCCGGACAGAAATATATGATCATGTATATTGATCAGAGAAATATATGATCATCATAGATACATGTTATGATCTTAGTGTCTTGAACAAAGAAGGTAACTTTCCATCATAACATCAAAGCAAATTCTTCAAGAGAGTGAATTGCATTTAGATGAGCAGCTACCCACCTGCCTTGATTCTTTACTACAAAATGATCTAACATATGCCTTTGGGTGAAAATAGATACCATGGTTCCTAAAGAGAGAAAAGATGTTGAAAGAGACGTAACAGAAATGCCATCATCATGCAGATACACACTTCTCATTCATTCCTTCATTCATTACTCATTGGTTTGTGTTTTATACACCTCGTATCCTGCTCTAAGACTATTAACAATAGTTATCATGGCAAAGTTTCTGTGCAGTGATGACTGTTTCTTCTTCTGTGTTGGTGATAAAAGCCAACACCTACTAAATGAAAACTATGACCACTGATACTATTTGAGGGGAAAACAAAAATGACATATGTAGTTGGCAGTGGTAGTTGAATATGAGCTTGTTCCTCATCAGTGCTGGGCAGAATACCACCAGCTACAAGAAACACCCTGTCTTGGTTACTTTTCTCTCTTTGCTGGGACAAAATACCTGATGCCCAAAATTAAGGAAGGAAAGGTTTATTTTGCTGACAGTTTGTGGAGGTTTGTCCATACTTGGCAGGTTACAAGGCAGAGTGGCACATGGCAGAGGGCTACAGCTCATGGTGGCAGAACACAGCAAAAACAACAAAAAACGAAAGCAAGGAATCCCAGCAAGCAGCCTCTTCCTCTCCCTTACATATGCAAACTATCCACCCCAGGGCGGGTGTAGCTCTCACACCCATAATCAATCGAACTCTAAAAGCCTGCCCCATGACCGCATGAGGCCTTCGGGGGACACACAGACACAAACCATAACACCCTCCCAGAAAAGATCTCCACAGAGTGTTTCATCAGGGACTCTTGCTTGACAACAAAGTCCAAAACTGGTTATTCCATGGAGTACATTACAGATGCTGCTTATCTCAGGAGTTAGCTCTGGGGATTGAACTGAAAGTATTCGTAAAACATAGAGATCAGAAAGCAGATTTAGAAAAATAATCAAGTAAACTCAGAAGAAAACTCCATTTGTTATTTTGAAAGAGCCAGGAACTTTATTCCTACCTCCGGTTCACATAAAATTGATTTTAATGAACTAAAACCTGGTATGGAAAAGGGGAATATGAGAAATAATAACTGGAAACAAAGAAAAATAATAATAATATGTGCCTGTGAGGGCAGAGGAAGTTAGAAATGCAACACTTGAAAATTAAGAGCTATGTTTCTGATAGTTTTTGTGCTTCTGGACATAAAGCTAATGTCTTTCTCCTGTGATCTCTGAATCAGTCACAAGAAGTATTGAAAAAGACAAAGTTGAAATTTTAACTAATTTATATCTGAAAGATATTCTACTATTACATCTTTCTCCACTTAGATGAACAAGTATCTCTAAAGAGTTCTGAGATTCTCCATTTTCATAAGTGTGGGCCAGCCAGTCTCTCATATCATTGATCAGTGTTCATGTTCCACTTACAGAAATCCAATAGTTTCTATCTAACCCTCTCAGAAAGCCTTCCACTGTGCCACTGTGATATAAGTGGTCCCTCTCTCCTCCCCTACTGATTAGGATCATAGCCTCCTGTCACTATATTCTTCTTTGCTTAAGAGACCTATTATCATACCTTTTAATTTGGAAAAAAATGCCCCCAAGTAAAATCTCAGTGTATTGCTCATGAAGTGCTAAATAGAAATTCGGTAAAACCAGTTTAGTTGTCTTTAATTTTAATAAAAAGACCCAGAACAGATCAAGAAATACATCTCCATTCAAACCTGCCAGACTGGCTGACCAAAGCTAGCATGCTGGTCTCTCCCATGGAAGCCTCACGTCTACACATAGACCTAGCTGCAAACTCCTAAACTATCTGCACAGCAAGAGGGCTGGTTCTCTGTGGACAGCAAGCATTTCTCTAGATAGAGTGCCTTCCACTGTACCTGTCTTGGTTACTTTTCTCTCATTGCTGAGACAAAACACCTAACACCCAGAATTTAAAAAGGAAAGATTTATTTACCTTACAGTTTGTGGAGGTTTCCATCCATACTCAGCTGGCTCCAAGGCAGAGTGGTACATGGCATAGGGCAACAGTTCATGGTGGAGGAAGACAGCAAATACAATCAGAGAAGTGAGGAGCAGAAGCAAGCAGCCTCTTTCCCTGCCTTACATTGTATGCAAACTACGCATCCCAGGGTGGGTGTAGCACTCACATCCATAATCCCAACAATGGACCATGAATCAATCATAAATTGTAGAAGCCCACCCCATGACTGCATGAGGCTTTGGGGGAAATCCAGACACAACCCATAACAGCATCCATGCATTGTAGTGTGTGTATGCTGTCATCAAGAGAAGGATACTGTGGGCCTAGAGTTATGGAAAATATCTCAGATACAGATAATTTATGAAGAAAAATAGATATAAATGCCCATCACTAAAACACTATTCTCTATAAATAGACCAATAGACATGAGCTCATGTGCTCTTTATAAAAACTAGGCCTCTCTTTATCCCCATTTTAGTGATGAAAAAAACTAAACAGAAGAGAATTTGAGTAACTTATCCACACATTACACAGTTAGTAAGTGGTTCAGCTAAGATTTAAGTAACAACTACCCAATGCCTTTGTCTTTTTTTAAATTGTCATCCTCTACTGGTCCTACTATACCATCTTGCTCTTCAGAGAAAAG